GAAAGTGTTTCCCACATTCTAAACAGCTGTATGGTGTCTCTCCGGTGTGGATGCTGCGGTGTCTAATGAAGCTGGTGGCCAGGTTGAAGGTCTTGGAGCAGTGGGTACACCTGTACGGTTTCTCCCCCGTGTGAGTGTACCTGTGGTCCCTCAGCAGCTCTTTCAGACGGTAACTCTTGCCACAGATGTCACAGTGGAATGGTTTCTCCCCAGTGTGGATCCTCTGGTGAACTTTGAACTGCGACAGGTTAGGGAACTTCTTGCCGCACACATCGCAGGTGATGATGGTGTCTCTGACCGACAGCTCGTCAGCAGGGAGTTCATGTGAGTGCTTGCTGATGACGTGGTTCTTCAGGCAGCGGTAGCTTTTTCCGCAAATGGAGCAAAGCTGCCTCTCCCCGGTGTGGATCACCTGGTGGCTGTGTAGGTTGGCAGCTTGGGTGAAACCCTTCCCGCAGGTGGAGCACTTGTATGGCCGGTCCCCCTGGTGCACCAGCTTGTGGCGAGTCAGGTGGCAGGCATGATAGAAGCTCCTTCCGCAGACATCACAGATGAACTTCTTCTCAAAGTGTGTAATCCTGTGTGTCTTAAGCACGCTGATGGAGGAGTAACCCTTCCCACAGATGTCACAGTGGCAGGTTTTCTCTCCGGTGTGCCGAGCTTTCACATGCAGGTTGAGGTGAGGTTTGTGGTTAAACCTCTTTGGGCAATAGTCACAACCGTATGGCAGCAACCCGTGCTCCTTCATCTCGTGTTCATGAAGCTTCAGGATGCCAGTGAAAGTTTTCCCACACACAGAGCACACTGGGTGGGACTTCCTCTGGTGGTCGGAAAGTCGTTCGGCATTTGGAAAAAGCATCCCACACTGCACACACGGGGCGAGAGTGTCTGTTGTCTCTTCAGTCTGAGGGGTGTTGGTTACTTTTTTAAGCTTGTTGTGCAGCTGCCTCCTACTTCCTCGTTTAGAGACGCTTCTCTCCACATCTGAGGCAGGCAGTGGGGAGGATGGCAGAGCATACTCATGGTCAGGGACATCAGCCTGTGGTGGAGGGGAGGGGGAGGAGAGCTCTCTGTGCAGTATTGTGGCTTCACCTGTTGCATCAGTCCTTTCTTCCCCTGCTGCATATGAACATGGATGTATTTTAGAATCAACGCAAAGGTTCAAATGTCAATTAGCAAGGGAAAAGTGATTTCAGTACTTGATTGACTTGAATCAGAGCTATGAGTGATGTTAGAGGATGAAGAGCCTTGCACTTAGATATTTATATGTGTGTTTATGTGTCCTAGCATAAATACATCCAAAAAGTATTTTTTTGTTAACCTTTTTTAAGCAAATAAGAGTAAGGGTTAAATTATCCTCTGAACTTTAGTTTTGGTTATTGGATGCATTTAAAGAATTTTCTCTTACCGTTGGCATTAGTCTTACTCTGCAGTGACAGTAGAACACACTTTGAGTCGACAGCAGCAGTCTACAAAACATAAATAGGTGAAAAGAGTTTAGTTTGTTCATCCTAATAGCTACCTGTTAAAGTCAAATCAGTAACTTACCCCGTACACCAGGATGTATGTTTGCTCTGTGGGAGGTTGCTCACCACCGCTGTTTTCTGCTGAAACACAAAGATAAGATCACAAAATATTAAGATACTCTAATGCTGGTGTATTTTATGGAAGTCTACCTCTGACTGAACCAAGACATTTTAAAGCATCTCTGTGTGAAAGAGGCTCACCTTCTGTGGTCTTGAATAAACCCTTCGCAGTCTCAGCAGCAAGCTGCACCACCTTCAAGATTTTATCAACAGCTTCAACACACAAACTGTCCACCAGAGTGCTGAGCCTTTCCTGACACAATGAAACATTAGGGTTCAGGATTAGGTTACTTTATGTTTAACTGTTGGTGGATTTGTTTTGTAGCCAGCAAGGTGGTGACACACAAATTGCAAAACAGATGTAACAAGACAAAATAAATGAGATAGAAGGAAAAATTGGTATTTAAAACATGATAAAAACTAGAGATGCACTGATTGGAAAAATCACGGTCGATATCACTACTGATGTTTAAAATAACAATGTAGTAAGTCATTGCCAATTCGGTTTTGTTTCATGACTTCTTTTGGTGTAAATGGTAAATGGACTTGAGCTAATATTGCGCTTTTCAAGTCTTCCGACTACTCAAAGTGCTTTTACACCGCAGGTCACACCTACTTATTCACACCCTTTCACACACTGATGGTAGTGATCGCTATGTAGTATCATCCATCAGAAGTAACCAATCCCATTCATACACCACCATTGAAGCAGCGGGAGCAATTCAGGGTTAAGTATCTTGCCCAAGGACACATCAGACATGTTGCCCAGCTGGGGATTGAACCCTCGACCTTCCGGTTGAGAGGCGACGACTCTACCAACTGAGCCACAGCCATTGTAAGACCCTAACAATGCCACCATTTTCTCTCACGTTTGACAATGAAAACAGAGCAAAGTTCATTCAAAAGGTGACTTCATCTGCCCAATAAGATAATGCTTCTCTGAATTAGTAGTGAGGTGAATCGGCTGCTGACATCAGTTCATGCCACATTATTTGCAGTGTCTGTCAACAGATCCAATATCGGTCGATACCGATGTTGAACCAAGGCATCGGTGCTTCAATATAAAATAACATATATAAAATCGTAAAAAAAGTCAAAGTTCCCCCATCAGGGTATACAGGAGAAATAAATGACAGGCGACAAGATCAATAAAAGAAACACAAATAAATAACTTTTAACCAGGATAAAAAATAACTTTTGGACACAAATAGATAAATAAATATGTGCTAATATCAGTATTATTATTGTTAGTGATAACAGCTGTAGATACTGTGATGTTTATACTTAGATCTTCTTCAATTACTCCACAACATAAATATCTATTAAAACACAAATCCTTCTAAGTGGACAGAGTCTTAAAGCAACTTAATAAATTGATCACTCTTGTCTTTTGAAAGTCAAATATTCTCCTTATTTAGACTTGCGCTTATGAAAAGGTGACACAATGACACACCTTTAAAGTTATGTAACATCATAAATATCTAACCTGACAGATGTCAGCTTTAACAGGAAGGTTACCTGTAATATTATGCTTCTTTGAGCTTTTGTAAACTGTCACAACACGTTAAACTCTCCAGTATAAACATATAGTTTCATTACTGAAAGACTGTAAATACATAAAAGAAAAATAATCCACAAACTCCAGAGTCTTGGACCCACACGTTTTGACGTCAAACCGGAAGACCAGGAAACCAAGTGGTGTCAGCTAGCTCAAACAGCTAGCTGGTATCTTACCTCCGCTTCAGGATTCTGTTTGTTCAAAGAGACTTTCTCTGCCGCGGTGAACATCTCTGTCACAATGGCATTTGCCAAGTTACTGACAATGAGCGTGAGTTTATCTTTAAAAGTGATTAAATCCACCATATTAAACAAAAATGCAGTAAATTGCCAGCTAGCTTAGCTAAAAATCACGGCTAGCTCGATCAATGCGGACAACGGAAGTGACGTAGTTGTCTTGTCCTTCAGTTTATGGCTAATAATTGAAAAGTTCCGACTGGCTGCCAAATTTAACGGAAACATTTAAATGAAATACGTCTTTTATTTACATGAACTAAGTACTGTGCTTTTTATAATGTCCCCATTTCTTACATTTCTGACTCAAATGAAAAAGTGAAACATTTAGTTTAGAAATTCTTTCAATTGTCAATATTTCTGACAGACACCGAATTAAACATTCAATCCACATGTGCTGACATTTTCATTGAAGCACTCTTCAGCTAATGGTAACATAAAATTATTTTGCTTCTACTATGTCAGTTATCTATGCAGTGCATTTAATATGTGTTTTGCTCTTACTCAAAAATGAAATCCTCTAAATCATTATGATAATAACAAAATTTCATGTAAACTTGGCTTTTTTTGGCACATGGAGATGGGACATGTCTGTAATTGCTCATTAATTCTGTTGATCATGTTGAATAAAGATTAATTAAAATGTATTGCAGTATTTGCATTGTTATTATTAGTAATGAAAATAAAAGTCTCACTGATTGCAAAAAAATACTTTATTCCACATCCAGCTGCACCTGCTGATGTACATACATATGATAATAATAAATTGTTTTTTTTAAATATAACATTTTATTTACATTCATCCACAGAGCTTCAGACATGTTGATCAGTGCTCAAAAGAGATTCAAAACTATAAAACACACAGAAACCAACAGGACTAAAACATTGAATAGCCTCTTCATTTCAGAAAAACAAAGATATACAACATACTCTCAGTACAGTACAATAATGAACACACAAACAGAGACTTCCTCATATACATCCTCCTGTGGCACTTGTCCTTTAGAGGTGACTTTTAGTCCCATTCATCAAAGTCAACCAACTGATGCAGTCGCAGTGTTACGTTGCCTCATTGCTGAAAACCCCTTTGAATTAATAATATTTTCTAGCATGCTAACATACTAGAAGTCCAACTTTACTTTTGAGGTAAATAGCAAATACTTGTTATCATTGTAAAATCATAAATAAATAGACTGCTTAGCATACAAACTGAGGCTATGGGAGAGGTTTGTAACGGCTTGTTGATGACCTCTATTGAAGCTCATAAGCATCCCAAGACTCTGAAAGCATACCATTTGTTTTCTTGTTCATCCTTTCTATTCATAATAGATTATTTATTGGGCATATTCGCTATTATTAACAAATCATGATGAAACTGATATTGTCCACCAGCTCAAAATTAAGACTACTATTAAAATTAAGTACTTAAAATGCTATTTTGATCAATTATTTGCCCCTGCTGATATTAAGTGTGCTTCCTTTCATTATCATGACAAAAAACTTGCATAGTGACAAACAAGTCATAGCTGTTCAATCGTAACAGCCAATCAAATCCCTGTACCCCCACCACCATCAACACTGCTGCCTCAATTTCAGTCCAATCAGTTTTTTCTCTCCCACCCTTCAGCTGTGTTTGTCCGACTCGCTGCTGCTCTGCCGCCGTGGTGAGGAGGTGCCAGAGCTCAAAGAACCTCCAACATCCTCCTGCTGTTGCTGCTGTTTAGAGGAGCTGGACAGGTCGATGGCAACCTCCTCCTCCATCTCCTCATCCTCCATATCGAGCTGCTCCTCCTCCTCTTGTTCTGTCTTTCGAGACTCACAGGGCCCGCCGACACTCCCCCGGCGCTCGGGGGCATCACAGAATGAGTCTGAACGGTTGGAGTCTGATTCTCGAGGGCTTGAACACTTTTTGGACATCTCTAGAGACTTCTTGTGCATTCCTGTGAGGACAGAGACAGAGATTCAGTTCAGGCTGCAGGATATACATTTTTTTAAAGTAACTTGCATAATAACAGGTCATATTTTTTGAGGTACGTTGATACTGTCTATACGGATAGTGTGCAGAAACAGTCAAATAAAGCCAATAGATTTATTTTAACTTGTAAATAACACATAAACAAAGCAGGTTTAAAAGTACAACAACCAAATACTTGAAATTAATAAATTTCTATACAGATTATTATATACAGGAAACCAAACAGTTGATAGGGTGGGACCAGGATAATTTCAGCCTTTAAAATCTTAGCTGCAGCCCTGATTCAAGCATCATTAGATGTTCATTATAAATATGTCATTATCTTAACAAGATGTTTAGCTACAGTATATATGTCTACACAGTGCAAGCTCTCAGGAAGAACTATATAACCCTGACATCCCTTGAAATGTATGAAAAATGACCCCGTTTTTTTATAGGTAGGTTTCTGTTAAGTCAAATATTTAACACTATAAAAATGTGTGTTGTTACCAGTGTATAAAATGTATAATGATATGGTGGTGTAATTTATAATTCTGTTAGCTAGCTAACCACTTGTTCGCGGATGCTAACATGTCTTATTAGCATTTTTACAAATGTATTATTTAGATGATGTTTCCGAGTAAATTTGCTGTGTATTATCTTTATTCAGGCCTAGCTGTTGTTTGCTGTGTATGTACCCTGTGTATTGATGCATGGTGTTGTGCGTGTGGGTAGCACTGACGTGTATGCGGCTCACCGAGCAGCCAGGGGGCGCAGGATCCCATCATTCCGCTCTTGGCGGAGTTGAGGATTGATTCTGGCAGCGGGATGGAGTGTCGGACCATCGCACCATACAGACCGTACTCCGCCATGACGCTGCTGCGACCCCAACACTTCTCACGCTTTCGCCACTTTGCGCGACGGTTCTGGAACCAAACCTGGTAAAAAATAATAATTGTTATTATTAATATAAAATAATATGTATAATAATAAAAAATATATATATTAGGACCTGACAAAGTCAAAACATAAAGCGCTGAAATCTGCTTATAAGTAAATTAAAATTTAGAAAAAATTACAGGTTTACTGAAAGACATTTTAGATTGTTTACATCTTTGTCAACTGTAGATTTAAAAAAAAAAAAAAAGAAGGTCAAATTAATAAAAAAAAAAAAAAAAAAGCATGTTGCCATAGTTTGTTTTTGAAAAAACATTGGTCTTATTGACCTTAACAATATTAAGTCTTAATTCAAAGTTCCTATCAAAATCAATAATGAAGACCACCAGATGTGGTCCAAAGCTTCAGATTAATAATTTTGGTAATTATTTTCATCTTTTGACCTCCATATAAATGATCTCACCACTCACATTGGCATGCATAAATTGTTTTCATTTCTTTAATTATCTGATCTTTATTTTCGTAAAAATGATAACACAATAATGTGCTTTATTTTTCTTCAGTTAAAATATTATAAATCAATCATTTAGTCACAACATTTTCGTCTATTTCTAAAATAAAAATAAAAACTCGACATCCATAAAAAAAAGAAGATTCTGAATATAATTTAAATATTCTTATTAGTGAGTCTCTCAGCTCCTTAGATAACCGTAAAGATTATTATTTCTCACTGATAAACTGTGTATTTATCCTGATTTCTCACCTGTATTCTGTCCTCGGGCAGCTCCGTCTTCATGGCGAGCATTTCTCGGGCGTACACGTCCGGGTAATGTGCTTCATGGAAGGCTTTCTCCAGCTCCTCCAGCTGGTGAGACGTGAACACAGTCCTGCAAATCACAAAGCACAGATGAGCTGCGGACAGTGAACGCTTCTCTGACTCCTGATCTGTACCATGACAGCAAGTTTTTTTTTTTTTCTTCCTGGGTTCCGATTAGTCGATATATTTTGGCTATGTATTTTAATGTTTAAGATGATTTATAAATAACTAAGATAAGGCTTAACGTAGCTGAATTTTTCCTTATTCCATTCGTTTCGTCCAGATTATTATTATTTTTTAAATAGGCAGGCTGTAGGATTTGGCTATGCAGACTAAATGATATAGGCCTATTGTAACTAATTAGGCTTTATTAAATACTTTAAATAAAATTTTAATTTTTTAGTGTTTTCCTGGCATCACTAATTAAAAATGACAATAAGCCTACATAAGGATGATAAATAGCCTACCATTCACCTGTCCGGTGAGCCTTTTATATTCGTTTATAATTCAGTTTAAAAACAAATAAATTGAATATTGGTTTCGTTTTATGAGTCTAAGAATCAGAAAAATATGACAAAAATAAATCTAAAGGCAGTTTGTTTTATCTCACCTGTGTCTCCTTTTCTTCCTCTTCTGGGAGTTTGCAGAGCTTTTGGAATCGTTGCGGTCAGATAGACAATCCTCATCTGCGGCAGAGCGAAAAGAAAAACATCAACGACCAGCTCACCAATAAGAAACGGGTCAAAAACCGCCATTGTTTCTACACAGTGATCTTTCAGATGTTTGATTAGCCTATTTGAAGAGACACTAGAAATTTCAGCGGGAAACCAAATAAAGAAAAAAGACACTAGGCCTATAGGCTAATTGAATATGCTATTAACGCAATCTAATGCCAAAATGAATCAATTCATGAAACCACCTGATGACTCTTTGCTCCTCAGACTGTAGAATTGTGTAAGATATACAATAGCTATTTTTTTTTTTTAGAGAACTAATTTCCGATTATTTTCAGAAGTTTCTAGCGGCCTGTCATAGACTATCAGGAAGCTTCTGTTAAACTAAATAAATAAATAAATAACCTGACAGAAAAGACGAATCAAGCCAAACTGAGACAAACCAGAACCAGTGTTTCCTTTTCTAATTCTTAAAAATAAAATCAAAGATAGGCATCGCCTAATGGCTAAATAAAGAGTCAAACGAATGGGAATGGAACAATTTAAGACATTGAGAAAATAAAGGGCTAAGCCTCACTGTTAAAATTATTAGCCACAAAAGGAGGTTAAAACAATTTAAAGTTCAGTTAAGTTGAAAAATAGCTCAATAAATGTGAGAACTAGTCTATAGGCTACAACAAACTAAACCCTGATGACAGGTCTTGTTTCAAAATGAGTCGCTCCTCTTTTAAATCACACGGAAAAAAAATACAAGATCACATTTGAAAACAAAATTTGACCTAAGCCCGTGCCAAGCCGTGCCGTACCGGAGTAAGCGTCCCTCTGGGCCTCCAGGCTCTGCAGATAGTGGCTGTCTGCCCGGGCCTGCAGCAGAGGCAGGTGTCCCGGCAGGAAGCAGGGCGCTCCAGCGGGCTGCTGCGCCGCCAGGCTGCACAGGAAGCCGAGGCCGAGCGGCAGCGATCCTCCCGGGAAGGAGAACCCACCGAGGCCGCCGCCGGGTCCCTGCGGCTCCGCACCGGGCCCGGAGCCCGTCACCGACAGGCCCGGACCAGGGGGACCGCCGGGCTGCTGCCGCGACTGCAGATCCGACTCCAGGCCCAACAGGTCCGTGATGGCAAACCCCTTGGACCGGAACCCAGAGCCGTGCAAACGGGATTTATCAATCCCAAATCCGGGCGATAGCATCTTCACTTTGGGCTTCTCTTCTCCGACTTCCTCCCTGCCCGTCATGGTGCTCATCAGGAAAAGTAGGCTAACTCTGGCGCGTAACAAGTGTGTATGAGAGTGAGGATGATGGACAGACCGGGACAGTCCGGGTGGCGGGCTGCATTTATCCGACCCCGGTCTCCGGGGATCATAGCAGCAGCCAATCAGAATTGACAGATGCAGCGGGGGAAGGCTCCCTCTTTCCTCCACTCAATCCCGGAGGATTAATTGCCACCAATTTTCCTTCAATCCGATCAGGATTTTCTCTCAGCGGACAGAAGAGGAGAGTTTTTAATTTATGTTGTTTATCTTTGATCAAAGGAAGAGAGTCCAAGCTGCCAGCATCACCTACAGGAGCCTAAACCTACATCTTCACACCAGACCTTAAGCAGTTTCACCATGAGAGGCCTGAGGATGCTGAACCCGCTATTACTCAGATAAAAAGAATCTGTATTTTACAGTGTAACAAATTATTAGGCTACACGTTCGCTCCATCCATTGAAACGGACTGTTAAATATGAACCAATTAAATATCTCAAACACGAAACACACAGATAAACTAACCTCCAAAGTGTATGCGAAATTAAATGAGATTTTATTTGAGATGGTGTAGGCCTATTGTTTTTAGTTGAAAATGAAGGATTCATAGGGGCGTTTTATGGAAAACAACATTCATTCATTCATTAACTATCCAAATCAACTTGGAAAAAAAACAGAAAAAGTAAAAGCCAAAGTTCAATAAAGTTGGATCTTAAAAAACAGTCGGCTGTTAATAATTTATAAAAATTAGCGATGCATAATAAGATACATATTTTATCATATTTTTTAAACAATTTAAACCCTCACAATAAAAAATCTCAGGAAAAGTATGTGAAACAAAAAGAATCTAGACCCACTTTTGAGATGAAGTGAAATTGGCCTATGCCTTATACAAGGGTTAATGTAGCCTGTTTATGACATTTATTTAATATTAAGTTTAAAAACTAAGAACGACTTGACTCCACCTCCAAATTCGTTTTTTTAAAAGATTATAATCAAATGTCACCAGCAGCTTTAGAAGAAATGTTGAGTCACTTGTTGCATCTTGAAACTGAGGTTAGATAGTGTCTGAATAATTTATATATCGTGTTACTATTATTAACCATCGAAGTTTTCTCTATTTGAGTCCATTAAATAAAACATTTATGTAGCAGCTTTAACCTCGGCTGGTTGACCCTCACATTAAATCATAAATAAATAGTCACAATAATAATAATAATAATAATAATAACAGTAATGGTGTTTCATTTATAATCTTTAATCTCCATTTGGTTTGATTTGGGCTCTCAGTGAAACAGTGACATCACATTTAGACTCACAATAAAAAAAATAAAAAAATAAAAAACAGATTAAAGGGGAGTTTAAAAACAGCCTTAAATTTGCTTTAATTATCTCTGATAAGCAGATTCCTCTAATTGCTTTTTAAAACCAGTTGACCATTTCTACCTTCTTACACACACACACACACACACACACACACACACACACACACACACACACACACACACACACACACACACACACACAGACACACACACACACACACTGCCTGCCAGCCTGCAGTCAATCCCATGGGATTAAACGCTAACTTGGCCCTAATTTTACAAACTGACTTTCATCATGAGGAGCTTCATTTTCTGTATCAGCTGATTTTCACTCAGCTGCAGCTCATGAGAAAAGATTGCTTCTATCACGGCAATGAATGCTGTATGATACAATATAATATATACACTTAAATATACACTGAGAAAGTAGAAAAAAAAAACTTACTCAGTTAAAGTTTTAATCATAACATCAGCAGTGATGGAATTCTGATAACATCAGTTATTACTGTAGTCCCACTACAAAGAGAAAGTGAATTACATAAGAGAAAAATGGAGATCGTCACATTGAAACGAATAATACTGGGCACTGGACACTGGCGGCCTTAAGGAAACTGAAACAGGCACAGAGTTGGAGAAATGCATCACAGGACTAATCAAACGAACCACTAATGACACTGTTTAAGTTTTATAAAAGTGTTATTTATTAAACATCTCTTATAACCTCCTTATCCTGAATTACAAGTTACTTATTATTCAATTCTACAAACACATGTTCACATTTTATACTGACAATAATGTATTACATTGAACTGAATACCAACATATGTTTGGTACATAGAGAAAGGGATTTCATTAATTAAAATTGAGACTTCTAATGATATGTTAGAATGAAAGACAGTACAGCCAGAAGAACAAATATAAAGAGAGACGAGTCCGATGAAGGAGGGAATTATTCCTTATCTGCTCTGTGTCAGAACATCTGCTACTGATTATTGAGAAGGCATTGAGGAAACCTTCATAGAGCACTGAAACATCTGGACTCGACATCCCCCTACCCCCCATCTGTCCAGGAAATATACTGTAAACCAGCTCAAGACTAACTCTTTAATCATGAGAGAGGACGACTGTTTTCACAAGGAAATGTACAAGTGTAATTTTGATACACGTGCTCCTCTTGAGCCACCGTCAGGACAAAATTGAGTGTATGTGAAATATTAAACTATGAAGCTCCTGAAGTCACAAAGTCATAAATCCAAATGTGCGAACATTCATTTCTTGTATGCATTTGAAACCGTATCTTGTGCACACAACATGGATTATCTGAACCTTGAATTTCTTGTTCAAATAAGAAACAAGTCCTGTTCTTGTATGTGCACTTTATTATCTTTATCAAACAGGGCCTAGATCCTGGGAGCAAGAAGCCTTAAGACCTAAATTATTCTTGTCCTAGTCAGACAAGATGTCTTCTAAATAAGACAGAAGATGTAGTTCTCTGATCTTAAACAGATGTTGATCATCATGCTCTCACATGTTTCATATTTAAATTATACAAGTGATCATTTTATTGGCACTAGACTCTTGTGAACAAGATGACCTCCTCTAACAACGTTTTAAGCCAATATTCTCCTCACTCCAGCTGTAGATCTTGTTCTTTTGGGCACAAATGTTGATCTTGTCCTCTCAATAAAAAAATCATATCTTCATTTGTACTTTGCACAAATCTTGTTAACTTAATGATCACCAAGATGTCTTGTCCACATGAACAAGATAGCTACCCTACTTGGAAAATATTTTTGTTGAAGTTTGTGAATATAATGGATCTGGTACCTTGTTCACACTAGGTTGAGATCTTGTACCTGTGCAAGAAATGGTTTTCTTATCGGTATTGCAGCAAACTAAGGAAGTGTAGCACAAGTTTGTTTGTTTTTTCCGATGACATTTCCAGAAGATAGCAGAAGATAAAAGATTAATATCTTGGTCACGGACAATATCTTGAGTCATTATAGGACAATTTTTTTTTCTTTTTTGGCATGAAATGGGAATGTTTCGTTAAAAAGATCAAAATGCACAAATAATATATCAATCTTATTTCGCCAAGATAAGATTAGTTCACACAAGTTAAAATCCTTTTCGAACAACTTTTTTTATTTTTATTTTTATTCCAAAAAAAGGTCATCTTATAAGCGGGAGGGGAGGAATTCGGTTTGGGCACTCATCGAAGGACTGGTGTTTTGCGAAGCTCTCCCCAATGTGAAAAAAAAACAAAAAACTTTTCAATATTTACTCTAGTCTGGCTTCTTGCTCGGTCACCCTCTCTTTTTTTTTCTTACGGACACCGTTCTCCCTGTTGACAGTTATTGTACTACTTAATCGTCTTTAAAGAATTTCAATTGTAAAAGTGACATATCGTTGCTTGCAATGTTTCATTTCTTTTGTGCACTTTTTTTATAATGATTTATTCCCTCAAATATATATATATTTTTTAATGTCAAATGCCACCTGAACAAACCAACACATTCATTCTTCCTCTGCAGATTCATCTGCAGTCACAATAAAAAAGAGGATGCAGCTTCACTTTTCATAGTTCTTGCAGATTACAAAGGTTTTCACAAAATCAGAACATCAGTTTGACTCGTGTAAGCTGAAAAGAAGGTGCTGAGGTTGGATTAAGTCCTGTGTGTGTGTGTGTGTGTGTGTGTGTGACTTGCATGCGTGTATGTTTATGTGTGTGTGTATGTGCTCCACAAAAACTTATGTTCATTTTTTAAACAATGTGGATTACCATTATATGAAGAAGGAGATTGATTGATTATGGGTTTGAATAATCTTCGGATTAAGGTCTTTTATTCTTGTGGTTCCACTGAGCCTTTTATCCTCATCCAGAGTTTTATCTTCATCCTTCATGTCTTTATCGTTTTATTTCTGCCTTTTGTAATTAATTTGTCTGCAGTCCGTATGTAGACTGCAGGACAGAGCATTGCATGTCAAGAGTGTAATCGTCACTAATCATAGATCAGGTTTAAAGCTCATCAATTGACACTCTCACATGGTTTGAGTTCACTAAATGTACAACATGGGCTGTGGCAGGTGATGTGTCCCCACATGTCCCTCGTGGTGGCCATGTTGGGGATCCTACGCTCAGTAAATCACCAAAATATTAGAATGTCTGTTATTTCCTCAATTATATATATTTTTTAATATCAAATGCCATCGGAACAAACCAACACATTCATTCTTCCTCTACAGATTCATAGGAAGAATCTATAGTTGCATTTGCAATATTCGAGCCGGCATTGTTTTGTGGCTATTCTGACCCACAGTCCTCTGCACAGTGCAATAATGTCATGTCCACTGGTGAGCGAGAAGACCAGTACTTCAAAGTACAAAAGTACATTTGATGCATTAGTCTGAGATGGATACATGTACAGTGCACTCTAACTACTTTTTTTTATAACATAACATTTGAAAGCTAACATCTAAATCAGGATCTTGATGATTCTTCTCTAGTTGCATTCTCTTCAATCTGAGTGACAGATAACTATCTTTAAAATTATGAATTAATATAAAAACTAATGGTACTTGAGGGATTGGAATGGTAAATGGTAAATGGACTTGAGCTTGTGTAGCGCTTTTCTAGTCTAGTCCTCCGACTACTCAGAG